ACCAAATCCTTAAGCTTATGGAGGCTATTCTCAATGAAACCATGACAGGAATAACAAATATTTTCAGACAGTACATATTCTCTTCCTTTTTGCAAATGTTGCATGCCTTTGGGAAGAGAGTACTTACTGTAAAATGATCAACCAGAGCAGTCAGGACTCAGTGTGATAATCCCAACAATTGCCATGAGAAACAAGGCTGTTTTAGGATCTCAGTCTGTTCCAAGAGATAGCCCATGTATTATTTTCAATCACCTAATCTGTATGTCACACATACATATTTCAGTTTTTATGGTTTAAACTGCTCTTTGTTGGAGGCTGAAGAGATGGCTCAAAGTTTAAGAGCACTTGTGATTCTTGAAGATGACAAGGTTTCTGTTCCTAGAACCCACAGGTATCTCAGAACCACTCATAATTCCTGTTTGAGGAAATCCAGTGCTCTCTGCTAGTGTATCCTAGGATAACAACAGGTTGCTAAGTGCATAATTAGGAAACAGGTGTTTACACACTTCAATCTAAATGGAGTTCAGAGTTACTCAAATATGTTTGCTTGCATCAAAAAATGTGCTAGGAGTAAAACTTAATAATGTAGAGTGGGTCCTTGCATGGCAGCCTCACAGCAGAGACAGAAAGATAATCACAGATAACTCTGTCTTCATGTGGCAGAGGAAAAGAGTGGGAATTCTTAAAGCCCTTGTTATACAGATAGTACCTGTGTAACCAAATAGTTCTCAAAGGCTCACCTTCTCAAACTACTATTAGAACCAACCTCCCACCATATCATTTGGCAGACGTGTTCAGACCATATCAGGGAATATAAGTTTAAAGTTTAATGAAAATATAGTATTTTCATTAAACAGATGAAAATGCCTCATAGAAATTACGGGAATGAGAAAACTGCTATTTTTGCATCTTTTGATCATCTTGTGATGACTAGCACTGAGTTAAAGGAGAAGAGCACAGAAGTAATGCAGAATATTCATTGCTAACTTCAAACCAACTACTGTCTCAGAAACCCTCTATAATTGCTAAGGCAACATGGCCTCTTCCTCTCCATTTTAAAAGTGAAAATGAAGAGGTTTGGTAAAGATTAGACCTTGATATAAAGTGAAGAACCATAATTCAAACTTAGCAATTCAACTCCAGATATTATACCTCTGGTCTCAAGGTATCACAGATTAAATATGTGACAAATATTTCCTAATACAGTACTTTATAAAATAAATTTGAGAACCACATCATAATTTTAAGTGCTCTAACAATCCCATTAAAAAGTGAGAGCAAGGCCGGAAGACAAAGTAGGCTGCTCTCAATGCTTACAGACTCTTTCTCCTCTCCCTGTTCACCAGACCTAATTCCCAGAGGCTTTCCCCTAACACTACAACAAAACAACAGCCTCAGTCTCTCATCCCTGTGCCTCCTATGTATTCCACAACTATTGGCTCCTGACATCTTCTCCCTTCCCTTGTGGCTTTATAGCATCCATCTGCTCCAGCAGGGAGCCCCTGCTCAAACACCAGCCATACCTACCAGATTAATAGGTACACTTCCCATGGAACTTCTCCACTCTCTTTGTAGCCCAAACCCAATACTCAGGATTGGTCCTAGTGCTAGAGCAAAGTATCACCTAGGATCCCCTTCTCCCAGCATTCAACATGAGCAAGCATTCCTGTGAACATACTTGCCAAGCAGGCCAATAAAACAGGCAACCAATGCACAACCAAACTCTCAAAAATCCAAAGAGAAAATAGAAACAAAGAAACAAAATATACAAACCCATAAGTCAGCACCTAAACCTATACTCACCCCAAACGCAGATGTCTAGACACCAGCATAAGAACATAATCAATAACAGCCGAGACAATATGTCTCCATGAGACCCCAGGTATTTTTTCTACCAAAGCAGGCCCTGAATATTCCAACATAGCCTAACCCCAAGAAAAAACCTTAAAAACAGCTAAATGAAGATGATAGAGGTCCTTAAATGGAAAATGAATAAATTCCTTAAAAAATCCAGGAAAAGAAAAATATAGATAACTGGAGAAATACATAAATCCCTCAAAGAAACCCAGGAAATAAACAATTGGAGGAAATAAATAAATTCATTAAGGAAAGCCAAAAACAAACCAACAAACAATTTAAGGAAACAAGATTTTTCAAGACCTGAAAAAAAGGAAATAGAAGCAATAAAGAAATCACAAAATGATAGAATCCTGAAAATGAAAAATATAGAAATTCAAAGAGGAACTACAGAGGCCAGATTCACCAACATAATACAAGAGAGGAAAAAGAGTTTAAGATTTTGCAGATAGAGCACTCAGACTCACCTCAAGTGGAGTGGCAGACTGAGGGTAGAGAGGGAACCAAGAGTGAGATTCTAGAACCCTGAAGAAAGTTCATTCCAGATGCAGGTCGACTCAGCCCCAGAGTCTGCTGTCTGCTGCTCATAAGAAACCCTGAGTCTGTTGAGATTGCTGGGCTACTACTGCACCAACTCAGGGCAGAGGTAAGCTGCTTTGGCTCCTGCTTTGGACCCAACTTCCACCTACCCACTCTGGGAACTCCTGTCCTGGGGTCTGCAGGCAGGTCAACTCGGCCTTTAAGGACCAAGCAACTCAGAGTCTTCTGACATCTCTGTGCTTGCCCCACTCCCCTCCCAACCTAGAAAGCTAGTGCCTCAGACCTGCCTGCACCCTTCAGAGTATCAGAGCCTCTTGTAACTACCAGAAGAGAACCTTGGACCCAAACACACCAGAAGAGGAAGAGACAACACCTGCAACCACTGGAAGAAGAGGTGGGAAGATGGCAATATAAGAACACATCCAACAACAGAAAAAATAGGGTAAATGATAAGGAACTATATATGCAAGCATAACCAACAGAATATAAGAGATGGAAGAGAGGATCTCGGGTGTTAAAGATATATTGGGAGAAACCAATTTATCAAGCAAAGAAAATCTTAAATCCAACAAATCCTAACACAAAAAAAATCCAGGAAATATGGGACATCGTGAAAAGACCAAACCTAAGAATAATAGTTATAGAAGAAGGTGAAGAAACCCAACTCAAAGGTGCAGAAAATATATTCAACACAATCATAGAAGTAAACTTCCCAAGCTAAAGAAAGATATGCCAATGAAAGTACAAGAAGCCTACAGAACACCAAATACAGTGGACCACAAAAAAGTCCCCTCCTCACATAATAAGACAACAAACATACAGAATAAAGAAAGAATATTAAGAGCAGCTAAGGAAAAGGCCAAGTAGCATATAAAGGCAAACTAATCAGAATTACACCTAAATTCTACATGGAAACACTGAAAGCCAGAAGGCCCTGGATAGATATTCTACAAATACTAAAAGACCACTGATGCCCAGCAAAGCTTTCAATAAATATAGATGGAGAAAACAAGATATTCCACAACAAAACCAGGTTAAAACAATACATACTCACTAATACAGCCCTGCAGAAATTACTAGAAGGAAAACTCCAACCTAAGGACTTTAACTACACTCACAAAAACGTAGGTAAAAATAACCCCGCATTACCAAAATACGAAAGAAAAAGCAGGGTAAATCCACATACAATACCACTACCAACAACAAATCAAAAACAAACAAGAATAAGCACATTTTCTTATAATTTCCTTGGCTAGTTATCAAGGGATGGAATTTTTTTTAAACCTTTGCTACTGACGTGGTGTTTTCTATGAAATTCTGAAGCCTTTAGCACATTTCCTGTCAATAGTTGATCAATTTCATCATATATATATATATATGATTCCTATTCCTGGTTATGTTTTCTAGTTGAATAAATAAATAATAAAGTTAATTTTGTATCATCTGGTATGAATTCAGTGGTTTCAATATGAAAAACAACTCTTTCTGCATATTGTGATCCATGAGAATAGGATATAATTCTGGCTTTTGAACAGAATTATAAGGACTTAGATTCACTTTACTTAAATTTTCTGATTTGTAACCTGCATTTTCTGTTTGCATCAATACAGAATTTAGGAGCTCCTGATATTGATATTTCCCATACAATTCAAGGGAGGATCCAGATAGTTCTCATTTTGAATTGAATTCTATTGCATTTGGGATAATAGTTGTTAATCTCTCCCAAAAAAATTACTGCAAACTCTTTGCCAGGGTTCCCTTTCTGCCCATAACTTGACAAATTCATCCTTATTAAGAGGTACTATAATTTCTGCTGGGTCTGTTCCTTCTAATTGATGACTCAATTAATTTCCAATCTACATACATACAAGGTTAGGAAAATTTCACAGAAATTTTCCAAGTCCTTAAATTCATATGGAACCAGAAAAGAGCTCAGATAGACAAAGCAGTCATGACCAAAATGAATATGGTAGGATTGATATTCTAAATTCCAAAATATATTATAGATCTATAGTAATAACAATATTGTACTGTACCCCAAAACAGGCATGTGAGCCATCTTAGTTATATTTCTATTGCTGGGGAGAGACATCATGACCAAGGACTTTGCTAAATGTGTAAAGTAAACAAGTTGGGAGACAGCAAATATTTCTCCCCATTTTTCCAAATACTTGAAAGTAACTAGTTACTTTATTCATTAGTAGTTAACTAATTACTTTATTAATTAGTAACTATTTAGTCACTTCATTCACTAATAAAGCTGGTTTTGAATACCAAATGGCAGTTTATCTCCAAACAGGCAAACATGTTTTCATTTACATATTTTTTCTGGAGTTATTTTCTTTGTCCTGAACATTGTCTATTTGTACTAGCTAGGGAATATGTGCTTTGGTTAGTTTTTTTTATTTAATTTTTTTTATTCCCATTTCATCCTTCTTGGCCTTTAGTCATATGATATCTATCATTTTTACAATTTCCTCTCATATTAAAAGCATCATGATCAAGGAAAATCTCAATCTTCTTATCAGCCTCAACCCCTTGATAGATTAATGACATCAATACGACATCATGCTGAATCTCTTTCAAATTGATCTTTCCTCCATTAGAGTTCCCTTTTAAAATTCCATGTCTTTATAAGTCCGGCATGTGAGATTTTAACTGCTCTGTCACCGCTTTCTCTTCTTCAGTCAGTAGAATTAGCTCCAGGCCTGTCTGTTTTTGTAGTTCTTGAATCATGGTCATTGTCTTGCTCAGAGTAGCACAACTGCAGCTGTTGTTCTCTTTTTGCTCAATAGAAAGTGGCTTAAAGCATGCACACAAAGCTTCATATCGATACTTTATTGCTGATAATTCCTTTAAAAGTGCAACTTCATTTTTCTCTCCTGATGAATCTGGTTTATTAGTCTTGATTTCATATTCTAGCCTATATTGAATGTAATCCAAATCAGAATCAGCTTTCTGGAACATCAGCTCCAGCTTATCAACCTCTGCCTCCATGTTGAATAGTTGTGTTTTGGTCAGTTGTAAGTGCTGCTTTATGGATCAATGTTCTCAGCTTTGACCCTCAGACCATCTACTCCCAGTGGGTCTCTGGGTTATACTGAACATCTACACAAACATAAGGGTGTGTAAGACACTGGGTGACCAATTACTCATATGGGGTTACCCACCTTCCCCCACCCCTGCCCATGAACAAACAAAATTACTTCTGACCCAGAAATAGGATCTATTGGTTGGGTTTTTCTATGATGCCATTGCACATGGAGGGTGTTCCCCCAACACCTCCACACTGTTGGGTAAGAGGAAATGACTGCCTCTTGTTTTTGATGTCTTTATTAATAATCACACTGAATGTAACTGATTCTTTACTTTACAAAAATTTTATTATAAACAGCATCAAATATAGCAAAAAGGAATTTAAGAGTGGGTGTCCATTACATATCACTTAGCTTCACTAACAATTCATAATTAGAATTTTCAATCTGTAATCTTACTCTCTGTTTCCACATATATACTGCATTATTTTGAAACAAATCCCAGACTCAATATTACTTCTAATTTAAATATATCATTATGTAACTACAAAACATTGAAGCCTCTAAAATCAACATCTTATTACCATGTCTGAAAAGTTGATAATTCCTCAATGTCATCTAATTTCATTGTTAAAATAGTTTCTGTTGTTTCATATATTTTTCAAGAATAATTAGACTACCCCCAAAATATGTTTCATGATTCCTGTGCCCTACAAGGTTGGATTTTATTTAGGTTCAGTTTTGTGCCTAGAAGATTTCATAAAATGGTATTCTAGCCTTCCTGTTATAGTGTATCAGGAGATGCACACTGCCTGCTGTTATTATTGATCAAGGAATTCAGGTGTTGCCTTCCTGAGCATCCATTATAAAGTTCCCTATCAGCTTTTCAACTAACTCGCTTAGCAGGTTTTGAACTTAATTGCTTAGATCAATTATCTCATTAAGTGTTGAGACATTGATTTTCTCAATCTATCATTTTTCTCTTCATTTATCCCAAGGAATTTTCCTATAAGGAAAATTTTTGGTCAAATTCTTAGTTGTCTTTCCTGTATAACTAGTACCTTAAAACAAGTAAAAGACTGGAATTTTGCTGTTTATTTATCCATTTTAGAATAATTGACCATTTCTCTAGTACACCAGAGAGGTTATCGGTATAAATTCATGAATAATAATATATCATATATACCTCAGTCCATTTACAATGAGAACTTTCAAGTTAGTTTCTGAGTCTATGTTTTATTAATCATTTCCCCTTTTACATTTTTATTTCAATAAAATATTTTTGTGTGCTTCCCTTTGTCTTGTGCATTCTGTAATAACAACCCTTTCCTACAGTGTTAGTTTCATCATCATTGCTATTATAAATAATCATGACCAAAAGTAAGTTACAGACATTATAACTTATTTTGTCTTATGGTTCCAGATGTGGTAAGAGAGGCACAGCAGCAAAGATCAGTAGAAAGAAATTGAGAGGTAACATCCTAATCCACTCACAGGAAACTGAGAACTGGAAAGGGGTGAGTATACAAAACTCCCAAAGCCCACTCCCAATAATATACTTCCTCAAGCAAAGCTAAATGAACAAAGCAATGACTCTTAATTACACAGTGCTAGATGCATAACTCAGAGCATCACTCAGCCCTCATCAGAGAAATATCTTCTTGCCGTAGATTGTATTGGGAAAGATATTCAAAACTGGATGATGTGCAGATATCCTCAAGCCACTGGGATCTATGTAGAAAAGGAGACAGAAGTCCAGTAAGAGACAGAGGTGATGGATGGCTCCAAGGAAATAATGTCTTCCAGACACAATAGGACTGACACACAAATTAACTGACAGAGACCACGGAAGGATGCATGCATAAGACCTGCCCAATTTCAAACCAGATGAAATATCAACACTAGAAGGGGAAGTGAGCACAAAGTCTCAATCCTATCCCAGAAGCTATTTCTAACAGATAACTTCTGGGAAAAGGGAAATCAATATTCTCCAATAGAGTACCACTTGCTATAGTAAACAGACTCCACAGAAGACCCTATAACCAATAGTTGGCCAACACAAAGCAAATTCTGTCTTTGGTTTGGTTTGGTTTAGTTTTGTGGACTTTTTCTTTGGTTTGGAATGTTTTGGTCTTATAAACTTACTTGGTTTTGGTTTTTTGAGTGAAACAACATGGAATTTGATGGTAAGGAGTTGGGGACTATGTAAGTGCTAGAAATATAATCAAATATCTTGTATTAAATACTTTTTTAATAATACTTTTAATGAAAATTTTTATTTTATTTTTGAGGTTATAATATAATTATACAATTTCTCCCTTCCCTTCTATCTTCTGATGGACTCATCTTGCTTTCTTTCAAATTTGTGACCTCTTTTTTCATTAATTAACTTTTATAAATTTAACCTTTCCAGTCTGCATGATGTCATTTGTAGGTAAGTTTTCAGGGCTGACTCTTTGGTTCTGGATAACCAATTGCTGTGCTCTTCCCTGGAGAAGACTTTCTCCCTCTCTCAGCATTGCTTAGTTGCTTGTAGTTCTTGGTCTGTGGCTGAAACCTCACTGGCTTTCCCCCATCCTCTTTGGCATGTCTACCTTGGTAGTCCTTGTTCAACTCATGTTAAGCAGTCATGTTTTTGAAATGCTATGGGTGTAGCTTCTGATATTGCTAGGAGACACAATCTCACAGCAAACTCCCTGATGCTCTGGCTCCTACAGTCTTTCAGAACCCTCTTCCACAATGTTCCCTGAGCCTTACATATAGGAATTTAAAAATGAAATATTGGTTTCTCATAACATTAACAATTTAAAATATTTTTGTTGATCTTATCCAGCAAAATGATACATGTATCCTGCAACATATGTCCGTGTTACTGAGTTTTAAATGTCATTGAAGTAATTTCAGCCTGAAACTTCTTGATGCAGTTAACCACCTTCATGACACACAAAAGAAATTACTTTTTCTTAATTTTAATTTGCAAAGATCAATCCCTTGTTTTAATTCACATGGTTCAAAATTCAAATCTATGGAACAATGCCTAATAAGGATACTTTATGTGTCTGCGGTTTATGTCTACAAATATTTTTCATCCTTTTATATATGCACTACTCTATACCTTGCTATTTAAAGTTAATCATAGTACTGAAAACTATATTCGCTCCACACGTGGGTTCAATCCTCATTCATTTAGTATTTGCATAGTATTCTATTGTGTAGGAGAGCCATACCTCACCTTGCACTTTTATTTGTGTAATAACAGAGATAAATAAATAAACAGATAAATACAAAAGAGTACTACAGCTTTATTTGTAGGGATAGACATACAACAGTAACATTTTGTAAGAACTACATTTTCATTGTTCTACCCAAATCCATTCTGTTTTAAGATTTCTCCATGAACTATTCACAGTCACATTATTCAGAGGAAGTTGACCCAACCCTAGCTCTGTGGATATGCTTAACTTTTTATTTGTTTATAGATGACTATATCTTGGTCAATGAGACTCAATTTTTAAAAAATCCTACTCAGAAATTCTCCATAAAGTTACTTTCCTTCCAGAAGATCCCCTAGAATAGAAGGTATTTTTTATATCTCTTGATGTAACTCTTTCCACCCCAAGCCTAAACATAGTGGACAGGAGTAAAAGGTTTTACATACTTTAAAGCATGTCTTAGTCAATGAGTCAGTCTAACAACCATAAAGGATATGCTTCTTAGACTACCTGGCTAAGACATATGTGAGTTAATATGTCTGCTTGTTTAGTGCCAGCTACACCAATGCTTACTATTGCTTTGAGATAAACATCCTCAATATTAGAAAGTAGTAATTGCAGGAGCTACCCCTCTTCCTCTTCTCTCTTACCTGATTCACTTCTCCTGAACACACTGGGAAAGGAAGTTAAGGGAACTCACACCAGTTTCCAAATTAACAAAATATTCAGTTCATTCATTTGCTGCAATTTAATGTGGAAGCCTCCAAGCTCTGGCTCAGTGACAATACCTGCCTAAAATCCTGATTCCGCACCTCACCCCTCACTGTTAAAGTGCCTATAGCCACCTATAGCCACCGAATATCAACCTGTATTTACAGCTTGGGGTTAACAGCAACAAACCAAGAAAAACCTCATATTAGAGTGAGAAAGGATTCATTCATTTTCCTCTCCACGAGGAAGTTTCAATGACTTAATGATCCTAACCATACACTGTGTCACTGGACCCCTATCCCATTCCTCCTTTTCTAACTCATCTCTTCTAGGCCCTTCCACCATCTCAAGGTGGTAGATGATTCCAAAATTCCTATCACTTTACAATCCTGAGCAGTTAGTCTTTCTTTACTGAAACTTCTACTCTAGCAATTTCTTTAAACCTTTGTTTCAGCACTTAAACGGCTCATGAAGACACCTAAATCAAAGAATAATTCTGTCTCTGAAAAAAGTAGATGTTGTATTACTATCAGATCAACCCGCTTAAATTAGTCATCTCTTAAAATATCATTGATTTCATACTATAAACTCTTAAAATGGAAATTGCAATAGTTATTTAATGGCATTTCCAGAATTCTTTATCAATGATGTTGAAAATACAGTTAAACTCTACATCTCTGTGAATAATGTAAGTAACAATGTAAGATACATAGTAAGTGCTCAGTTGGTACTAGCTGCTGCTAGTGCTATTCTTTCAGCAGGTATCTTTGATCTATAAAGCTTGCTTGGACTTGCTGCCACAAGGAGATAACAGTTCGGATAATATACACTCCTAATGCCAAATGATAGTTATGACCTCAGGTAGCCCCTTGCTTGTAGTGACATGTTCAGACAGGATGTCCACACTTAGGAAATTAGTAAGAGTGCCTTATAAACACTAGTGAATGGTAATGGATTGATAATATAAGGTTCTCTCATTTCACTTCCCAGGCTATGGACATTGTTAAAGTCTGAGATGAAACTAAGGCACCCAGTATGT